GACTGGTTTTATACCTATGAAGGAGCATACTTGAATTTTCTTTTAACTTATTGGTATTTTCCACATTTTCCACCATGTCTGTTGTTGTTGTCAGGTGCCATCGAGTCGGAACCGACTCATAGCGACTCCATGCACAGCAGAACGAAACAATGTTCGATCCTGGGCCAACCTGACCACCGCTGCCACCCCCGAGTCCATCAATGATGCCACCTGGCCGATCCATCTCATTGGAGGTCTTCCTCTTTTTCTCTGACCCTCCACCCTACCCAGCATGACATCCTTCTCCAACGATTGTTTCCTCCGGACTACATGTCCAAAGTAGGAGAGACGAAGCTTAGCCATCCTGGCCTCCAAGGAGCTCTCTGGCTGCACTTCTTCCAACACAGATCTATTGGTTCTTTTGGCAGTCCATGGCACCCTCAGTATTCTCCTCCAACACCACAACTCAAAGGCATCAATTCTTCTACGATCCTCTTTATTCACTGTCCAGCTTTCGCATCCATATGAGGCTATTGAAAAAATGGCCTGGGTCAGGCGCACCCTAGTCCTCAAGCTGACATCTCTGCTCTTCAATACTTTAAAAAGTTCCTGTGCAGCAGATTTGCCCAGTGCAATACGTCGTCTGATCTCTTGACTGCTACTTCCGCGAGTGTTGATAGTTGATCCAAGAAGAATGAAGTCCTTGACAACTTCAATCCTTTCTCCATTGATAAGAATGTTGTTTATTGGTCCAGTGGTGAGGATTTTTGTTTTCTTGACATTGAGATGCAATCCATATCGAAGGCTGTGCTCTTTAATCTTCATAAGTAAATATTTCAAGTCCTCTTCACTTTCAGCGATCAAGGTTGTATCATCTGCATATCGCAGGTTGTTAATGAGTCTTCCTCCAATCCTGATGCCACGTTTTTCTTCATAGAACCCAGCTTCTCGTATTATTTGCTCAGCATACAGGTTGAACAAGTATGGTGAAAGAATACAACCCTGTCTCACACCTTTCCCAATTTTAAAACTTTCAGTGTTCCCATGTTCTGTTCGAACAACTGCTTCCACCATGTCTATCTACTTTTTATAGAACAAAAACAGGGAAGGCATTTAGTAGGTGTGATCAGGACTATGACAGACAGACCATTGAAGGCTAATGGGAGCTTGAAAGAGAGAGCAGGTAATTCCACCTTGAAATACTGAGGACAAGCTTGTGAAGGTGACCTGTGACCTAAGTTTTAAGGGACATGTATGAACTCGCCAGGTGGAAAGGCTCTGATGCAAAGGAAACAGCTTCTTCAAAGGCATGGCTGTGTGTGTGGAGCACAGTGAGCCTGGATGGGCTCCCAGTGGCTGGGTGTGGACTGCAGGGAATGAGACTGGAAGGGGCTGGTGACCTGGGCACAAAAGGCAAGGATGCTTAGGAGCTGGGTCATTATTCTGAGGGCAATGGGGAATCATGGGAGGATTTAGGCAGGTGAAGGACTGACAAGAGTGCTGGTTCAGAAATAAGCGAATGTATCATGGACAGGCAGCCTGGGGGCAGAGAGGCCAGTGAGAGGCAGTAGCAAGAGCTCAAGGGATTAATTGGGCAAGGGACAGTGTGATAAAAAATGAAAAAGTACATATGGGTCTGGAAATTCAGACTGATATGAATTTTAATACACTTCTCCCCTACAGGAGTTTTTTGGCTCTGGGCAAGGCATGTCTCTTTAAGTCTCTATGCCTGAGGTGAAACTTCAATGGACTAGGTCTTGGCTGGTGAGTGGGTAGAAGTAGTATCTCCCTCCCGACCCCTTTTCCAGAAGTTGATGAGTCACCCTGTTGGTGGTACTAGGTAATTTCTGAGGCTGCTTGTTCAGAGAAAGATATATGTCCCAGACAGCAGGGTCACCAAGGTGCCCTGGTAGCATGACAGATCCCGGGGACTGGGACCAAGCTCCTGAATGGTAGGAAATACATTCAGGCTCCTAGACAGATCCTCCGGTTCAGATCAGTCCTCAGTCCCAGACACCTGTGGCTCAGCCATATTTGGTCCCTGCCCTCAGGGAGGTCACCAGTGACTAGGAGAAATTCATAAAGCCAACTCCTTGAGGATAAGTTCTTATTAAACCCTCATAGTTGCACTGGGAGGAAGTGATACTAAAAGATTGCGGTCTTCTGTCTTATAAGTGATCGAGTCTAAACAGAAATCACAACTTGCTAACTCCAGCCCTGAGTTCCCAGCCTGAGCCAGGGCCTGAGGGGGGTACTAGCACATCTGTGACTCACCTGTGGGTGCTCTGGGCAGGGAGTGGGAGGTGAGTATTAACTATGAGCACCCCATGCCCCACCCAGATGCTTACCTGTGCAGGAATGAGAAAGCTCCTTGACCTTCAGCTTCCCACTCACCACCAATCACAAAGGTACCAAGGAGGTTGCTGGTAACCTTTTGTTGCTGGGCAGCTTGCTTCACCTTCAGATGGAGCAGAGCAAAAGGGGATGGAGTCCCAGGTTTGAGCTCAGTCACTTTTGAGCTCTCTAATCTTGCACAAGCTCTGCCTCTCTCCACCTCAGTTTTCTGTTTATAAAAAAGGGCCATTTATGCAAATCACACACGGTAAAGATGAAAAGGGATAATGTGTGAAAATACTCTAGAACTCCTGGAGACAGGGGTTTGGGAGCAGGGGTCTGGGTCCTGCACTGATCTCTGGCTCTCAGTCTGTGATGGATGACCCTTCTCTGAGTTTCAGATTCCCGCTGGATAAACTGTTCTACCTTCTGTGCCCCTGCCGTGGGAGGGATTTGGTTACCACCCTGGGCATAGCTGAGGAGAATCTAGTCCCAGCACCCTGGATGGTTGGAACAGTAGAGAAAAACAAAAACAGAACCCAACTCACACTAGTCCTGGCCAGTTCCCTTGGACCCACAGGAATTTGTCAAGATTTAACCAGGCTGTCCAGCCTTTAACCCTTTCAAGACTAACTTATTTTCTGCTTTGAGTTTTTTTTGTTGTTGAAACCATGTGTTTTCAGTAATGGAGGGCATTTTGAATGAAATGAAAAAAATTGAAGTAATATAGATTTTGATACAAAAAGTGAGACACATCTATGCAGAGTGGTCGGTCTCATGCTGGAAGTGATGGGATGAAGTCCATTTCTTCAGATTCACTAAGTTATACAGGCCCCCACTGGGTGGCAGAATGAACAAAAAGTGGAGTTGGAGTTTCCCATTAAATCCCAGAGGTGGAAAATGTAGGTGGGCACTATGTGTCCCCCATGTTGTGAAGAGGTTAGAGTCCTTGAATGGAGCAAATGGTTTGAGCTCAGCTGTTAACTGAAAGGTTGGTGGTTTGAATCCATCCAGCAGCACTGCAGAAGAAAGACCTGGAGATCTGCTTCCATAAAGATTACACTCAAGAAAACCACATGGACTTCAGGTCTACCCTATAACACATGGGGTAGCCATGAGTCAGAACTGACCTTACGATAACCTTTGCACATACTGCTCCTTCTACCTGAATGTCACCATCCTCTTCTTTCCCACCTAATACAACACAGGTGTCCTTCCTCTTAGACATATTCCCAACCACATTCACACATCACTACCCCTCCTTCAGGCCCTCAGATCACCTACCCACAAAAACTTCCGTTTGCAGGGCATCTAGTCTCCATTGTTTAATGCATTAAATCCTCAAAGACCTGGGAGATGGAGGAGGAAGCAAAGGTGGATAGAGGAAGTGAAAGTTTAAAGAAGTTAGGTTGCAAAGCCATGGAAGGTAGAAGCTCTGGAGGGCTGGTCCTAACTCACTGGCTGGTGCTAGTTGTTGGTCTGGTAGTGAACTCAGTGGGGGGCTGAGGGAAGCATTTAATGCTGTTTAATGCTGGTCATTTAGGATTGTGAATGGTTTCCTCACCAGGATGTGAGATCCTGGAGTGCCCAGGAAGGCTGATTCTCAGACTGACAGCCGTAGGAAGAAAAATCTATCTGTATCAACCAAGTATGTTGGTGTTGTTGTTTAGTGCTGTTGAGTCAGCTCCGACCCATGTTGTTGTTGCTAAGTGCTGTTGAGTTGGTTCTAACTCATAGCAACTCTGTATAGGGTTTCCAAGGAGCAGATGGTGAGTTTGAACTGCCTACCTGGGTTCAAATTGACCTTGTGGTCCAGAGCTTATCCTACAGCACCAAACCAGGACTCCATAGTGACCCTGTATAGGATTTCTAATGAGCAGCTGGTGAGCTTGGACCTTGTCATTCAAACTGATTTTGCAATCCAGCGTATTAACCCACAGTGGATCAACTATCAACACTCATGGAAGCAGCAGTCAAGAAATCAAACGACGTATTGCATTAGGCAAATGTGCTACACAAGACCTTTTTAAACTGTTGAAGAGCAAAGATGTCAGCTTGAGGATTAAGGTGCGCCTGACCCAAGCCATGGTATTTTCAATAACCTCATATGCATGCGAAAGCTGGACAGTGAATAAGGAAGACCGTAGAAGAATTGATGCTTTTGAGTTATGGTGTTGGAGGAGAATATTGAAAGTGCCATGGGCTGCCCATAGAACCAACAGATCTGTGTTGGAAGAAGTGCAGCCAGAATGCTCCTTGGATGGCCAAATTTCGTGTCTCATACTTCGGACATTATTGTCAGGAGGGACCAGTCGCTAGAGAAGGATATCATGTTTGGTAAGGTGGAGGGTCAGAGATAAAGAGGAAGACCCCAACGCGATGGATTGGTCAAGTGGCAGTGTCAATGGACTCAAGCGTGGTAACAGTAGTGAGGTTGGCCCAGGATCGGGCAGTGTTTCGTTCTGCTGTGCATAAGGTCTCTATGAGTCAGTACTGACTCAGCTCCATGGCACCTAACAACAACAACAACACCACACCAGAACTCCAGTAGACACTTATTAGACTAATGACTATTCTCTGTTTGGGCCTCATTTGTCCTTTCTGTCAAATGGGTATGAGAAATGAGCTCAAGACTCTTTCCAGTTGAGCTTTGATGGCTCTCAGAGGAATTTGTCTTCGGTGGGGTAATGGGGCGGGACCGCAGCAGAGGGCAGATGGTTTCAGAGCAGTTCCAGGGAAGTTTCAGTACCACTTCCGTCGCTCCTTGTCTCCTCCCTTCACCCCTGCAATGCGTGCGCTATAGCTTTAAGGCGCGGGCAGGGTCCTCTGGGCAGTGGCACAACACCTGGAGCGGCACAGAGCCAGAGCAACCCCAGCGACTCAGCCGGACTCAGTGGCCTTGCAGGCGGATCCCAGGAGAGGTGGGGCGGGCTGCGCCCCTCGAGACCGAGTTGGGGGACCCTGCTGCAGTTGACCAAGATCCTGGTCACCTCAGGATCCTGGCGACCCTTAGCCGGCACCGGACGCTAATGCCTGCTGTAGGTTGCAGAGTCCGTGGAAAGAAGTTGGGCTCCATGCTCCTCAGCACCGGGTAGGGGACCTGGACAGACGTGGTTGGCGGGTCCCAGGCAGGTGAGACACCTAGGAGCCGGACCCCAGAGCACTTTTGGGTGGCTCAGTGAAGAGGACTAGGGGTGCCCACCACGTCCAGCTCCTTACGCAGAGCGGCCCCTGTAGTCAGAGACCACCGCCAGAGGTTGGCGCCGCCCTCGAGGTTGACAGTCACCATGACTTAATTCCCTCAGATAGACGACGTCTGAGAGCCGGCCTCACAATGTCTGCGTCCCAGGTAGGTTTATACTGCAGCCTCTCCCTCCTTTGGGGCACCTCCGCTCATCCTAACGCGCACTCCATCATGAACCCCTTGAACCACACGGTGCCTTGATAGACAGAATCTCATCTGAACTTCTAACTTGCTGAGTGGCTTTGGGCCAAGGCTTCAGTTACCCTGGGTAGACGAAATGATTTCTCCTTCCAGTTCAGACAATCTGGTTCATTATGACAAAACTGGCACCCATTAAAGATCATTTGTTATTATGTTGGGTAGGAGTGGGAAGCAACAGCCTTACTGAAGGTACTGCCCACTTGCCAGCAGTAGAAAAATAGATTGATTTTTTGTCCTTGCTACCATTGGGAAAGTTAGAGCAAGAGGGATGTAAGAACAGGTTCTCAATGTGGTTGTGGAAATAAAAATCATAACAGAGAATTGTTGTTGTTGTCAAGTGCCTTTGAGTCGGTTCCGACTCAAAGGGACCCTGTACAGGGTTTCCAATGAGCTTGAACCGTTGATCCTGTAGTTCAAACCCACTTTGCAATCCAACCACATGAACGCACAACACCACAACAGCTCTGACAATCAGAGAAAAGGTGTTTTCATTCTCAGGGGCAATATGGTGTTATTCTGTCCATTTTATAGAACTAAGGAACTGAAGCATGGAGAGGCTAGATAACTTGTCCAATGTCTGAGCCACATCCATCTTCTGTCCATCTCTTCACCTCTGGGAGACAGGGTTGGAATGAAGCTCAGAAAGGTTGAACAGACTGTCCAGGGTTGCAGAGTTAACAAAAAGAATGGCCACCATCCAAGGCAATTATGAGTCTGGTGCAGGGAAAGTCTCTGATGGGATGGAGTTGAGGGTGAGGAGTAGCAGCAGAAGAAACCCTCTGGGAGGAGCTGAGGTTTGGGGCTGGACTTTGAACAGGGACCATGGATCAAAGCAGAAGGGTCCTGTAGGCAGGGGGAGCAGCAGTGTAGTCCCCAGGTGGCGGGAGTTGGTGTATGTGTGGGCATGATAAGGGGCAGGGGAAGAGGTGGTGTAGACCAGGGAGACCCTAAGTGCCAGGATTGAAAGCGGGACTTCTCTTGAGACTTAGAGACTCCCTTCATCCATCAAGGTCCATGGTCAGGAGGCAGGCAGGAGCGAGGTGAGTCAATTGCCTGAAATGGATGCTTTTGATGATAATCAGTCAGAGCCCTGGTCAAAAATCATAAAGCAAACCACAGCAGGACAACAGAACAGGCTTCAGGCTCTCCTTCCTGCAGTGGATGTTGATCCCCTCCCCACCCCAACAGCTAGCAGACAGGCTAACGTGTTCATGCCTACCCACAGAGAATCTGCCTGGGTAGATGGCAGACCCACCCAGCAGGGGAACATACTATGGGCAGTTTCAGGGACTTGTCTGAGGGCCAGAGGGAGTTTAGCCAGGAAGGAGGGCCCATGAATTGAGTAAGTACTTTACCAGATTTACCAGTAAATATACTTACATTGTTAAAAAAACAAAAACAAAGATGTCACTTTGATGACTAAGGTGCGCCTAACCCAAGTCATATTATTTTCAGTTGCCCCATATGCAAATGCAATCTGGTCAGTTAATTTTTCTTATTGTTTTTATGTGCTGTTCAGTTTGTTCCAACCCATAGCGTCCCTCTATAGAGTTTCCGAGGAGCAGTTGGTGAGCTTCAACCACTGACCCTGTGGTTCAAACCAACTTTGCAGTCCAGCACATTAACGCACCGGCCACACCAGGACTCTGGACAGTTAATAAGGAAGACCAAAGAATCAATGCCTTTGAATTATGGCATTGGAGAAGAACATTGAATATACCATAGACTGACAGAATGAGCAAATCATTCTTGGAAGAAGTACAACCTTAGAAGTTAGGATGGAGAGACTTGATCTCACTTTGGACATGTTGCCCCTAGAGAATGACATCATGTTTGGTAAAGTAGAGTGTCAGTGAAAATGAGGAAGACCCCCCAATGAAATAGGTTGAGGCAGTAGCTGCCACGCTGGGTTCAAACATACCGACTGTTGTAGAGATGGCACAGAACCAGGCAGTGTTTCGTTCTCTTCTACACGGGCTCACTATGAGTTGGAACCTACTCAACAGCACCTAACAACTACAACATGCTACTGCATTCTCAACTTTATATTTTGAAAATACAGCTAGATCTAGCTCACAGATACACAGATGAGATCTAAATTCAAATCTAGCATTGATCTCAGGCAAGTTGTCACTTTTGGAGCCCAGTGTCCTCAGGTCATAAATCTGTTGTGAGGATTAAATAGAGGATGCTTGTGAAGTGCTTGGCATGGTGCCTTGTTGTTTGCCGTGGAGTCTGTTCAGACTCAACAGGGTCTCCAAGGCTGTAAATCTTTATGGGAGCAGAAAGCCTCATCTTTCTCCCGCGGAATAGCTGGTAGTTTTGAACTGCTAACAGTGAGATTAGCAGCCCAATTTGTAACCACTACGCTACCAGAGCTCATTACACTTCTGCTGCCTCCAACACGTGTTGGTGTAGGCCAAGGGAAAACAAAACAAAACCTACACGTGGGAATCATGCTCATCTCAGGGACAGATGAGTGATGGTTCATATTTAACTTTTCTATCATCTATAGTTTTCTTATTTTTCCACAATGAATTTTTTACTTTTATAGGAAGTAACAAGTATCATAGGTTACTTTACCAGGTGCACCCAGGTGTGAGTTCCTCTAGTGTTGAGAAGTCCAGCTGCATTGGCTAGTCCAGTGTGACTTTGGGCAAGCTCCTTTGCCTCTTGGGGTTCAGTCTCCTTACAAAATAAGAATTCCTTGCCATGATGAGATGCTAGGGGTAGCGGGGCCTTGGCCACTGTCAAGGGATTATTGCTATTGATTTGCCAGAGTTTTTCCTTTTCCAAGCTGCTTTCTCCAGCTTTTCCCATGGACAGCTTCTCCCAGGTGTGGACTTTAGAGAGGAGGGGCGTCATGAACATGTCGTGATTTGGAGACAGGAGGTGCTTGCCCCGAGGACAGATTCACAGGAAGAGCACTGCAGGTCATTCATGAAAGGCATTTTTCTACATGTTTGCAGTGGTCTGAGGGTTCAGAAATATTAGGGTCCATGCACAGAGCACCTTGATAACATGTATCTGTGTCACACACACACACACATTTAGACACATGTCCTTTTGACATCTAAGTTCTACTTACTCCATCTTGGATATCTGCCATGCCCTTCACCTCCCCTGGGCACATGACTCTGAATAGCTGCATCACAGGACATCTCTCACAGATGCCAGGTTTGGCTGGATAAGACCCCATTCAGAAGGCATTTCTAAGTTTCCAATTGTTGAAGACTGCTTTAAGCTCTGTGTGGGCTCCCCACATCATTGTTTTCATGGCTCTGCTTCTGGAAGAAGAGAGGGTACCTCCATAAATTCTTTGGGTAGCCTGCTAGAAAGAGTTTGCTGTTATAGATGGGGAACGTGAGGCCCTGAGCAACCAAGAGGTTTATACCATGACATAGCTGGTGAGACGCTGAGAGGACCCGAGATGGGACTCCACCCAACACCCTGTAGCAGTTGGAACCCAGTGTTCCCACCCCGACCCCTTGCCCAGCTCTTCATGGCTTCCAGGAAGGCTTCTCACTCCACAAGTGCTTATTCAGTATCTTACTTACCTAGTGCTGCTATAACCACTGTGCCCAAGGCTAAGTGAAGGAGAAGCTAAACACAGAGGTACGTACTGTGGTCGAGGAAGGCCCAGGGGACTTGGGTGTGTGAAGAATCACTAGAGAAGGTTTCTCTGGAAAGGCAGAGGTGAGCCTGATGGAGCGAGAACCTGACGTTACCAGGCAGAGGGAACAGCGTGTATTATGGCTCGGAGGTCGATTTTGGGAACATGGACTTGAGTTTCAGTCCCTTACTGTCTGTTTAACCTACATCAAGGCACCAGGCTCTTCAAAGTTTCCATCCAGATTCTTTTTCTGTACATTTTTTTTTTCTTTGCTTCATTGACATAACAGCCCTGCAAAGTCAGGGGCATCACCTCTATTTCATAGATGAGGAAACCAAGGCTCAGAGAGGCCAAATGTCTTAGGCTGGGTTCTGTAGAGAAGCAGAAACCAGTGAAATTCATACATGTTTATATGAAGAGAAGTATGTATCAAGGAAGTGGCTCACACAGTTGTAGAGGTGGGAGAGTCCCAAGTCCAGGTCAAATGAGCAAAGACCAGCAGGTCAGATGGCAGGTAGGCTGCTGATGGCTCTCAGGATCAGCAGGTAATAGAGCAGGTCACTGGCTCGATTCCAAAGAACCGGAAATCAGAGGGTGAGCCAGATGCAAAATCCAGATCCAGCAGAGAGCAAGCAAGCTTTACCCGAGTGTGTAATATATTGGAAGCTGGCCACACCCCAGAAGAAACGTCCTTTCAATTGATTGGCTGCTCATAGCAGACCTCATCATAGATACAATTGTATTGTGTTAGATCTCATTATGGGAATAACTACATCTCAACTGCCAAATCACTGAGAATCCTGAACCAGTCAAGTTGACATAAAACTTTATCACACTGAATTGATGAACAAGGCAGATGAGAGAACATTAAGCAGGTTTTCATGGGCTAAGTGGGACAGAGGTAAGTAAGGATGAACGCACAACCTTGGAACAACAGGGCTCTGGGATACAGGGATTGAGAGACATGGTTGTAATGGGCAAAAGGGGGGAAACAATGTTAAGATGCTTGGCTGTCTTTTGAATCTTGGTTTCCCTTGCATGCCATTATAAAATAGACACCTGAGGGGGAGAGAAAGGAATAGCCAGAAATATCACCATAGAAAGCTTGTAAGTCCGTCTTCTACCTATAACTGATTGGAATACCTAAAATGGGGTTACAAAGTGCCCAGTGAAGGAGGCTTCCTGTGGAGCCTCTGCATTACATAAGACCATAGGTGGAATCCTGAACAGTATCCAGAATCTTCTGAGGTGGGAAATTTCCACTGAGAAGGATAAGCAGACCATTCTGGAGTGGCTAGAAGAACAGAAGATACTTCTTGAAAGAAAGACCTACAGGAAAAATACAAAACAATAACAGAAGTCTGACTGATTACTACAAGAACAAGCAAGTTGCCCTCTCAGGAGACACCAAGGCAAGTGGTTGAGTCCACTAAGGGTAAACCCCCTGTCTAAGACTCAGTGATAATACACAAGCAGACATGCACTCTGATTGGTGATCACATTGGTCACCAATAAGGGGCAGTGAGGGAAAAACAGCAATGAAGCCCTACCAAGTTCAATAGACTCCTGTGAACCTGGGTGGCAATCTGGTTGGCCAGCAGTGTGGCAAGACCTGGGAACTCCTGGGCCCAGAGTCCGTGACATAGCCACAGAGGATTAGAGTGGAGAGTGAAGCATCCAGCTGATAAGGAGAGAGGGGATATGCATAAGAACACCCACACTTGTAGATAATACCCACTTGACCTGGTTTCAATAGCTGGATGATCAGAGCTCAACTAGAAGAAGAAAGAAGAGGGAAAAAAGAGTAATTGGATGCAATTTGATGGACTTGGACCTACACCTATGGATGCAGTAGCTCAAAAGAGGGAACAAATTTTTACAGCGAGGATCATTCCCACCCCCTCCATACACAGAGTAGACAGGGATGGGCAACTTGGACATAGGCTTCCCAAAATGGGGGGCTACAAAGGCAAGAAGTGACTGGCTTACAAGTTTTCAAGAGGGAGCCTAGATCCAGAGGGCACAAAGGAAGATAGGATCTCCACTGAGTTGTATCCAATCTGTCTGTGCAGGGCTGATGAAAGGAGATGGGGATAGCACTCATGAGGCACAATAGTGAATAATTGTTATCAGGACTGACTGTGAGAGTTGGCAAGGTAAAGGTGGACATTTTGTAGCAAAACGAGGGGAGTGATTGACTTTGCATTCCAGAAGTGGAGGTCCCTGGGACCATCAAGGGAGAAGAGTGGAATGAGGGACCCTACCCAGAGAAGCAGTGATGCCAGAGATAGAGGCAGAGACGATGATGTGGAGAGATGGAATGGTGGAGGACTCTAGACTTAGAGAGGGAGAAGGGCTGTGTGCTGACGACCAGGGGGCAGGCTTGTAGGGTATACACTTTGGTTGGTTGATGATGCATGGAGGGGATTGTAACCATGGCAATGAAACGATATACGATAGGATGAATGTAAAGCTAATGTTCTCCCATGTAAACTATCACAATTCACAATAAAACATAAAACACACACACAACAACTTCATCATACCAAGTGATGTAAGGTTTCACACTGACCTCAGACAAAGAAGGACTAGAACTCAGACCTTCAGCACCAAGCAGGCCTTTCATGTGGCCCATGTCCTCTTCTCTCTCCTTCTCTGTGTCCAGATGCGTGACCGGGGCCACGTGGTCTCCACTCTCCGTTATTGCATGATGGTCAGTGGCATTGTGATTTTGGTGGTCGGGATGCTCTGCTTTGCTTGGTGGAGTGAAGGGGATGCCAGGACCCACCCTAGTCTGCTGGCCTCGCCCACTGGACACCCTGCACCCAAGGCTTCCAGCTCTCTGCTCAGCTCGGTCAGTTTCTTCTTCTGTGGTGCAGGTGGCCTGCTGCTGCTCCTTGGCCTACTGTGGTCTGTGAAGGCCAGAACCCGGGGACCACTCCAATGGGACCCATACCACGTATCCAGAGACCAGCAGTACCTCAGTGTGGAGACCTTGGAGAAGACGAGCTTCAGGTCAGAGTTGGGGCAGGATGGGGGCCCAGTCACACCATCAGACATTAGTTTAGTAGACTCTCATAGGGTTCCTCTTCTAAACCAGGTCTTGTGCTGTGCCCTGGGGATATGGAGATAGACTAGCACAGTCCTGAAGGAGTCCAAAGCTCCATGGCAGAGCTATGACAAATCATAATTAGAGCTGTGTGGGACGGTGAACATGGTACTGTGGAGACATGGAGAAATCTAGGAAGGCTTCCTGAAGGAGATGGTATAGAGCAAAGTAGTGTAGGGGTTAAGAATGCAGGGAAAAAAATCAGACCTACTGGGATCTTTCCTGGGTCTCTCACTAACTGGCTGTGGAACTTCAAATAGACTATGCAATCCCACTAAGCCTCAGCTTAACAATAACAGCAAATACTGTACAGTACTTAACCACATGTCAGGGTATGTTCTAAGTGCTTTTCATATATTAAATCATTTAATCCTTATAACAACCCTTGCAAGTTGGTGCTTACCAGCTTACCTTAGCTTCTTTACAGAGGAGGATAATGAGGCACCAAGACCTTAAGTAATTTGCAAAAAAACACCTAGAGTGTGTCCGTGCCCAGGATTTGAACCCAGGCAGTCTGGCCCCAGAGTCTGCACTGTCCACCACTCCTTATCTCTGGGGAACACTGAGAAAATGAAATGACGTAATACAGAGAGCAAGCTTATCCCAGGACTTGGCGTAAGTTCGAAGTGCCTTTCAGTCGGTTCCAACTCATAACGACCGTGTATAGCATTTCCAAGGAGTGGCTGGTGAGTTTAAACCACCGACTTTGCGGTTCAAACTGACCTTGTGGTCCAGTACTTATCCTACAGCACCACACCAGGAGTCCTTGACATAAATTGTTGTTGTTGTTAAGTGACATCGAGTTGAT